TTCATGTTCCTTCTCGGCGACCCTGCTATCCTGTTATTATTATTATTATTATTATTATTATTATTATTATTATTATTATTATTATTATTATTATTATTATTATTATTATTCTGTATTTTCTCCCGTGTCTTTCAGAGACTTAAGTGGAAATCCGTTTTTTTGTGATTGCAACCTGGCCTGGCTCCCCCGTTGGGTTGAAGAGAGAAATGTGAAGGTGTCCCGTCCGTCTGAGACTCAGTGCATTCAGCCGCTGGAATTGGCTGACCTTCTGCTTTTCAACGTCTCCTTCAGTGACGCTACTTGCGGTAAGGCAGAGGAGGGCTGGGGCAGTGGGACAGGAAGCACTGGAGAGCAAAAGTGCAGAAGTCATTCAGGCCCCATAAAACAGGGCCTCAGTTTTATACAGCTCAACATTTTACATAAATGGACCTCTGGACCCAAAATTCTCTTGGTTTTCAGTAAAACGTCTTGCGAAGCATGAAGAAAAATAAGCAAGGAAGTTAAAAGAGGAGGGTAGGAGAAAAAGTAGGAGAAAGAAATGTAACTTTAGATTAAATGTAAGAAGGATACTTAAAGAGAAAAGTGTCAGGGTTTCACATGGTTTAATTCATCAAGTTTCATGTACAGGAAGTCCTCAACTTAGAGCAGTTCATTTAGTGACAGTTCAAAGTTACAACGGCACTGAAAAAAGTGACCATTTTTCACACTTACAACCGTTGCACCCAGATACAGACCTGAGTCACAATAACACAAGAATAACCTCAGACTGATGGTGTTACAGCCAATCTCATGGAGTTGGTTTCCTGATCTGCTCTACTAGTGGGATTGACTATTCCTAGCCTAGAGAACCTCCCTCCACTTCACCCAAGCAGGATTCCCTCTCAGGTTGCGTGGCCAGTTACAGAGTCTGTGGCTCTGTAGAGAGCATCCCCAGGGGGGTAAGATGGAAGGTGCTGGACTGGCTCCCTGACCTGGCTGTGCTTCTGTTGCTTCTCCTTCCAGGAGCCGATTACGTTGCCTGCCTGCCGGACAACAGCACAGGTGGAGTGGAGTCTGTCATCCGATTCACTTCCCATTTGCCACCGAACCTGACGGAGGAAGTGTGCAGTGCACTTTGCTATGCTGACGGGCAAGACTACGGGGGCTTCAGTGAGGAAGCCGATTGCTTTTGCGGCTTTGCTCTGGAGCCCAACGTTTCCTCTGGCTGTTTGCCCTTCTGTGCCAGGCCCCTGGCTGGACCCCTCTGTGGGGGCCCAACGCTGCTTTCCAGGGTCTTTCCGGCTGTGCTGCCGGTGTCCTTGGAGGCTCCGGGGACACTGTGGGGTGTTTACCAAGAGGTGGCTTTTGTTCTCCATCTTCCGGTTGCGGTGGGCACCATTCAATGGGACTTTGGGGATGAAACGGGGCTTTTCAATACCACCAAGACCACCGTCCTTCAGGTCTACACATTGCCAGGACTCTTCAACATCACAGCCACGGTTTTTGTCGGCAACCGGTTTATCTCCGCGCAGACCGAAATCGAGGTGCTGGCCTCCCCAGAGGAAATGGCTCTTCAGTGTCCCTCTTTGCTGAAGATCAATGAAAGTTTACAGTTACAGATGAGGAATCGTGGAGGAACTGGCCTCTCAGTGGCCTATAACATCACTGTGCAGGACCAGGAGCCTGGAAGAGGTGAGGAGTGAGCGAGCCTTGCTGAAGCTTTGAATGGGCCCTAAACATCTTCATTTTGAGCTGACCTGAACACAGAATTCTGTCAACTGGGCTTATGGGCAATGTTACTCTTCCTTCTGAATCTCCCCCCTTGGGGCAGTTTCTCATATATATGGAGGGCATTGCTGTAAGCTAGGGGTGTCCAAACTTGGGAACTGGGGAATTCTGGGAGTTGAAGTCCACAAGTCTTAAAGTTCCCAAGTTTGGACACCCCTGCCATAAGCCATCCTTCCCCAGCCTCGAATCTCCAGGCACCTTGATTTGTGGAGAATTTCTTCTTCTCGTGGTTAGAGACAGGTGACTGTCAGGAACAAAAGAAAAAAATGAGCCTGAAAGATAAAGTTCCTAACCTCTAATTCTCCTTCCACAATCAATAGAAATCAAATTGAAAGTACCTTAGGATACAAGAGACAACTTCTAGTTTAGAGCTACCAAGCCTTGAAAAGTCTTTAACAGTATTTTGCTGCATTGCTTTGATCTGATTTCTGCCATCTCAGAAGTGGAACGAAGAGGATCTATGGAAATGCCAAGATCAGGTAGCATGAGCCTGAGGGTTGCAGCCCTCTACCTAGTTATAGTTTATTATACTTTATTATACTTGTATGCCGCCCTATTCCCAGGGGGACTCAGGGCGGCTAACAAACCAATAGGGAAGGGGGGAAATACAAAGAAAACGAACAAGACAAAACAAAATACAAACAACAAATTAAAAGCTACTCAACAGCCGCAACAATTCGAGTGGGGCTGGGAACTCATCAGCCCCAGGCCTGCCGGAACAGCCAGGTCTTGACGGCTTTGCGGAAAGCCTGAAGGGTGGTGAGGGTCCGAATCTCCACGGGGAGATTGTTCCAGAGCAGCGAGAAGGCCCTCCCCCGGGGGTCGACAGTCAACATTGGCTAGCAGATGGAATCCGGAGGAGGCCTAATCTGTGGGATCTAATTGGTCGTAGGGAGGTAATTGGCAGGAGGCGGTCTCTCAAACCTGACCAGGACCAGGTAGATTGAGGATTGCAGCCCTCAGTCCTTTCAGATTGGTAGGCGCAGGATTTCTATACTTCACCAGTGCTAAGTATTCTGGGAGAATGAGGACTTCAGGGCCTGCTGTATCTTTGGCACAGCTTAAAACCTGAGTTTATGAAAAGAGATGTTGGCGCATCTGCTTCTCAACTCTTATCTTTTCTGGAATGATTTTGACCTTCCACGGATCAAAAGAGAGGGGAAAAGGAGGCATGGCTTTATAGAGGAATCTTTGAGGTTTACATAAAATTGGTGTTTCTGCCAGATCATCAGTGGACTGGTAGTTCCAAGGAACCAGAGCTTGTCTCTTCTGTGCACGGTCCAAAAGCTCACTCATGCCTTTTATTTTTTTGCTGTGCAGTGGTCTTACCTGGTTGCCCCTCGGACAGCGTGATCTTCCCTGGGAACAGGCACTGCTATTGGCTCGGAGCAGAAAAAGCAGAATGGCTGGAGGCCCAGAGGCTTTGCCAAGAGCACGGCAGTGGAAGTCTGGCCTTTGTCAGCAGCCCCGAAATTCAGAATTTCTTGGTGTCCAGTGTCACCCGGTAAGTTAGTAAAAACAGGGTCGGTCTAATTCAGTGATGGCGAACCTTTTCGGCACCGAGTTCCCAAACCGGAATGAGCATGTGTGTGCATGTGTATGTGCCAGAGCACCGGAAACCCAAAGACCAGCTGGCCGGCGCACAAATACTAGTTTTTGGCTATTTTTGGATCATTTTCAGGCCATTTTTGAGGATGTTTTCAGGATGTTTTTGTAATGCGCCTTCACGGGCACTGGAGTGCTGGAAAACAGCGTAAAATTGGCCCGGAAAATGGCCTGGGTTTTGGCCATTTTCTGCCACTCCAGCACCTGCGAAGACCAGCTGACCGGCGCACATGTGCGTGCTGGAAAGCAGAAGAGCAGCTGCTGATGGCGCATGCGCCCACAGAAAGGGCTCTGCGTGCCACCTCTGCCACATGTTCCATAGGTTTGCCATCATGGGTCTAATTCATTATTTCAAAACTGTTGTGACATTAAGACCTGTGGATTTCAAGTCCCAGAATTCCTCAACCAGCATGGATGGCTGGAGAATTCTGGGAGTTGAAGTCCACAAGTCTTAAAGCTGCTAGAATTGAGAAAAGGGGCAGTTGCTGGAAACAGCATGACCATTGGTTGGTAAGGTATATGGTTTGATTTCGTATGGTCTCCTTCAGTATGCCTGAGCAGGGGTTGGACTAGAAGACCTCCAAGGTCCCATCCAACTCTGTTATTCTGTAAAAGGATTTGGTTAAAGGATGATACTGGAATTCAAGTATTTTTTGCTGCTGGATGTATAGGGGAGAGATTGTTAAAATGGGAATATTCTGATATTACCTAACTTCCTCCTCATTTTGCTGGGACAGAGAAGACAAACAACAGGGCTGGGAGAAATTTGTTAAGAATTGGCAAGGATGGATGAAGCTGTCCCTCTTCTCCTATGAATACCCCATAGACCAGAGGTCCTCCAGCCAGCAGAGCAGAATTCTGGGAGTTGAAATCCACAAGTCTTAAAGTTGCCAAGTTTGGGGACCTCTACCATAGACGTTTCTTCTAAAGCAATGTTCATGTGTGAGAACCAGGGATCAGCCGGTCTATCGTTAAGGATGGTCCACTCCCCACAACTTAGGAGTATCTGCAGAGGATGTTCCAAAATAGATGGAGGAGGCATGAAAAAAATTAAAGTTCACTTTATGCCATTTTTTACTTTGGTCGTCTAAATACAGTGGTTAGTCTCCAATCATGTATATAGTTTTTTCTCCTTTAGATGCATTATAATGAAGAATGAAATTGTCCAAATTTTGGGAAGTTCCTTGGGACCAGAACAAGCCTTTTGTGGCTCATATGGCCGTAGGGCTTTGGAGCTCTGGATTGTTTGGAGGGCACAGTCATAGAATCATCCTCTGGAAGGGACCTTGAAGGTCTTCTAGTCCAACCCCCTGCCCAAACAGGAGACCTCATTCCATGCCAGACAAATGGCTGCCCAACCTTTAATTGAAAAGTTGTCCCTTTGACTTTCTATTCGCTGTTTCTTGTTGGCTCGCCAGCTGCAGAACTATCCCCGATCCTCAGGGATGTTGCGATAACTTTCTTTCCTACCTCCATTTTGTTTTGGGGCTGCCCTGTGAGGTAAACATTGGTGGAGCATTGCTGTCAGTTCAATTCAGCGAGGGGAGACAAATGAGGGAAACGTGGGAAAGCAACACCAGGGAAATCTGTTTCCCATTACCCTGTGTGACTGCCAAGGACCCCTACATACACACACACCCCCCCCCACACACACACACAGAGTCACACACATTGTGGTTGCTTGATGATTCCTACATTTTATTTTCTTGAAGCAACTGCTGGGGTGGGGGGAGAGAGCTGGGGAGGGTGCTGCTGAGGGCCTTGAGATGGATGATGGATGATGTGAGGTGGGTTATTCAGGCAAAGAGTCTTCTCCTGCCTTTGGGGTCTGGTGCCTGGGAAGGGGCAGCAGTGGGTGAGCCTGGCATTGCTGCTTTTCTGTAGTGAGATCAGGGCTGAATGAAAAGCAGGAACACCCCAGGGCCTCTTTGGGGATGGCAGCAGGTGAGGTGGCTGTTTGGAGACCAGTCTCTGGGTCAGCAGTGCCAGGAGCAAAACTTCACCATTGCTAATCCTTGAGGCATATTTTTGTAACTTGAGAAAAAAGAAGAGGAGGAGGAGGAAAAGGAGGCTGCTGCTGAATTGTCCGAGCAAGTTATTTTTGTCGTGGCTTTCTTGCTGCGAAAGCTCTTTCTGGGATGACTTCATTACTGTGGCTGGCAAAGCATGTCCGTGGTGGAGAAACCATTGATTATCTCTGGAAGTCAAGCCTGCCATCCTGTTTGCACATGACTTAAACGGGCCAAGCAGAGGGCGGGAATCTGGCAAGGTGTGAACTTGGAACCGCCTTTTTATTTTAAAAAAAAACAGAGGTGGAGAAATAGAACTTTTCAGCCCATTTGGCTGCCTGGCCCTCTTCCTCCCACCCTTAATTCAAGGCAGTTATGAATCCCAAGCAGCCCGTTCTCTCCCCAAAAAGCCATGCATGACAGGGCCATGTGGCTGTGCCAGCCTGTGCCAGGGGGCAGCCGGTGTGGCTTGGCCCTTGACAACCGATCCATGTTGTGTCTTCAAACCGGACCCCCCGGACCCCACTGGCTGAGTTGGGATTTCCCATCATGGGCAGATGGGCCAGGGTCGGTGCGCAGACCTGGGTGGAATCTCTTCTTTTGGGGACCCACTCATGAAATCAGCTCACCCGAAGGGCTAGTCGATCAGCCTTTTGCCCCCAAGCATGTTTGCTCAGTGGATTACCCAAAAGAGACACCAGCAGGCCATTCCAAAGGTGCTTTTCAAAAGGCAGCTTGGGTTTTGCTTTTCCTTGAAGACATTTCGCTTCTCCCCCAAGGAGCTTCTTCAGTTCAGGGCTGAAGGAAGGGAAAACAAAGCTCAGCTACAACCAGGACCTGGAGGACTGAGAAGCTCCGTCCATAGGCAGCTCCTTTTCCCTCTGGCAGGCTGCTTTACCCTGAGCGCCACCTCAGTTACGGCCAGAGGTGGGTTCCGACCGGTTCGGCCGAGTAGGTAGTATCTCAGCTGCCCATGCACCCGAACCAGTTTTCCTGTTGGTGGCGCCATCTTCATTTTTGGTTCTGCGCATGTGCAGAACAATTTCCATTGCAGAAATGTAATCCCCCCCCTTTTTTTCTACCATTCTGTGCATGTGCAGACCTTTTCAGGTGTAAATGTGCACACATGCCGAATTGGCAGTAACGCCAGTAGCAACCCACCCCTAGTTATAGCCTAAAAGATGGGGGGCTGCAGCCTATGTTCTTGAGGTGGGCAAAGGCTTGGGGGGGGGGGGACTGAGGATGTGCCAAATGCCGGCAGGGAAGATGCAGGAGCTAGAACAGAAGCGACAATGACACAAAGTGTGCCCCTGTGTCTGACTGGGCAGGAAAGGTTCACTTTTGTTAAGGGGGGGGATAGAGGGGGGGGAGTATTTTTGTAAGTTTCGGGGGAGGCTGCTGGTTTCAGGGAGAGGAAAGCAGAGTGAAGCCCACTCTAGGGATGGAGGGGTTAGAACAGGGCTTGAATGGGGAGGGACTCAATCCTGCAGCCCTTTGGCACGAGGATCCGCAGCATGGTGCCCTGGAGCCCAGCACCCTGCCAGGCCGGGCTGCCCTGGTGTTTCCAGAGGCTGCTTGGAGAAGGTAGCGCAGGAGCCCTTTGAATCGCTTAGCTGAGGGCCCAAGTGTGGTTCTTAAAGGATTCCAGAGGGGGATGAATATCTTCGCATGAGGAGGAACATTATTTCCACCAGATGTGCCCAGAGCGCTTGAGAAAATGCTCGGCTTTGACGTCTGGCTTCCCAGGGAGGGGCTGTTCCTCCCCCCCCCACACACACACAGACATCCAGCATCTGTAGGCTGGGGGAGGGGAGGTGCGCAGAGTGAGGTTGACATCTTCATAACTGGTTAGGGCTGAGTTGGGGGTTTCTATGCATTTCCCGCTCTGAGTGGCAGACCACCCACTGTCCTCTCCCTTCTGCCCCTGATAAGTGGGGGGGGGGGCTTGTGGCTTAGTTTTGATTTAAAGCCCCCCCCCCCCCCCGAAGCCTTGTCAGAGGAAAGAATATCACTGTAGCCCAGAAAGGGCCTGTGGCCAAATGCCAGGGTAGTTTCCTTGGGAAAGGAATTCAAAACATGGGGTGCCACTGCCAAAGCGAGATGGCCTTTGGTCAGCAGAGAGGCTGGGTGGGGTGGGGGGCTTGGAAGTGGGTGCCTGGGAGTGCTTGCAAAGCCCAAGGGGCGCAGAGACAGAGGAAGACAAAACTGATCTTTGAATGCAGGTGTGGCTATTTGAAAACTGGCCAGGTTGAGCCCAGAGGGATCCAGTGCCCAGTGGAAGCTACAACTCTGCTCATCATTAATTGAGGTTTCTGGGAAGTCAGCCCCCCACCCCACACACCATCCATGTAGCCTCCTTTGGAGGTTGCCAGGACACACAGGACTGCCTGCTTAGGCAGGCTGCTTTAAACAAAGGCAGGAGGGACGAGTTGGTACGTTTCTCCAACTGGCTGGACACTGAATAGCAATATCAGTAGAATTATATGCCACCCCATAGGATTTTACAGCCCTCTTTGAGCAGTTTACAGAGTCAGCACGTTGCTCCCAACAATCTGGGTCCTCATTTTACTGACCTGAGAAGGATGGAAGAGTGAGTCAGCCTTGAGGCGGTCAGGATCGAACTCCAGACTCTGGGCAGAGTTTCCCTGCAAGGCTGCATTCCGACCTCTATGCCACCAGGGTGAAGCCAGGAGGGGCAGCTGGCCCAAAGCTGTAGGATCCCAGTACACCCAAACCTTTAGCGGGGGTCCCTTGGAGTTGTTCCAGAAGTCGAAATTTTCAGTGGATTTACTGGGAAATGGTTAGCCGGGTGTGTGAACCAGATTGCCAAGAACCAGGTTAGGGTCATAGGAAGGAGCTGGATTAGGATCTGGGAGATCAGGTTCTGCTCTCTGGTCACCCAGCCTGCCTTACTGGGTCACTGTGGGAGAGAGATTCCCTGCATGCCATCTTGAGCTCCCATACAAGAAGGCAGAGAGAAGCCAAATAAATGAATAATCAGTAAAAATGATCTGCTTTAATGAAAGCATTTGTCGTAGCCTCAAGAGCCCTGCACGTCCTTGACTCAGTCCTTCTCCAAACTGTCTCATTTCTTACAGCTCTGTTTTTTTTCATGCAGGACTTCAATTGTGTAGCTCAGAGGTGTCCAAACTTGGCAACTTTTAAGACTTGTGAGGAACAGAGCTGGCTGGGGAATTCTGGGAGTTGACGTCCAGAAATCTGGAAAGTTGCCAAGTTTGGACACTCCCTGTTGTAGCCATAGCTGCCATCCTGTCTTTTTTTGAGCCTGCCTCCCTGTGAGCACGCTTGAACCAACCTAAGCCCTTGCTTCCCTTTGTGCTGCGTCCACTCAACCTGCCCACGTTCAGTCCCCGGTTGCATGTTTCACTGTGAGAAAAGGAAAGTCAGTTCCTCCTGGAGAGGCCCAGCTGCTTCCATCTCCTGGCACTTGCTCCTGAAGGCTCTTCTGGAACAGACAGACAGCCAGGCATCCTGGACAGGGCATGTCATGCTGATGTCTCCCTCACCCGGCCTGGGCTTTCTCTCCCCAAAGGAGCCTGGATGTCTGGATTGGGTTTAACGACGTGGCAAGCCCCAGCCCGTTGCCACAAGGCGAGGAAGGCTTCGATGTGCAGAGCTGCCAGAACTGGCTCCCGGGTGAACCCCATCCTTCCAATGCCGACCACTGTGTCCGGATGGGTCCTGCCGGGCAGTGCAACACCGATCTCTGTATGGCCAAACACAGCTACGTGTGCGAGCACAAGCCACAAGGTGGGTGTTATTCCAGGGCCCTTGGGCACCATGGGTTATGCAGAGTCTTATCCTTGACTCAAAAAACTAAGCCAGGAGCGATGGTCTATGACAGGGGTGTCAAACTCAATTTCATTTAGGGTCGCATCAGGGTTGTGTTTGACCTCATGGGGCCATTGTGGAGGGGCCAGGGTAGGCGTGGCTCAATGTCACTCCTGTCGGGGGTGCCTGTGGTGGCCCGAGTACTCTGCCAGTGGAAACATGCTCCCAAGATCCATTTTCGGCTGTCATGGCCTCCTGCAATACTCTGCCAATGAAAGCAGAGCTTGGGAGGGCAAGCTCCGTTTTTGCTGGCAGAGGATTGCAGGAGGCTGTGGCAGCCGAAAATGGAGCTTGGGAGCCTGTTTTCGCTGGCAGAAGCACCATGGCCTCATCCTTTGCTGTTTCCAGGGTGGCTCCGTGGGCCAGATCTAAGTACCCCATGAACTTGATCTGGCCCCAGGCCTTGAGTTTGACACCCATGGTCTATGACAATTTGCCACAGCCAATTCACCATGGCAAACTCATTATGGCCAACTTGCCTCAGCCAACTCTCTGCAGGACAAGAATTACACTAATACCAAAGAAATAATGGAATAGAATCATTAAAGAAGGGATGCAAAAGGAGCAACAGAATGAAATGTGAATGGCAAAAATTAAAATAATTTATTTATTTTAAATAATTAAATATAATTGTAAAATTGTCCCACCGCTAGTTGTCCGTGGTGAGTTGGCTGCAGCAAGTTGGCCATGATGAGTTGGCCATGATGAGTTGGCTGCAGTGAGTTGTCCATAGTGAGTTGTCCCATTCCCCAGGAGCCATGCACCAGCCTTCCTGGCTCAATGGGATCAGAGGAGAAGTCCAGGACTTTGGAGTGTCCTTTTGGGCCCTCTGACTCTGCAGACTTTCCTAGAGAAAAACTCTTGCCTTTCTCTAGAGATAAACTCTAACTTGCCTTTAGAGTAGGGAGGAATGAGTTCCCCATGGTAGGGACTGTTTTGACTCTCTGGACATGGTGAGGGACACCACGAGATGCATTCCACCAAGTCTTAGACTGTGGGGAGGTTAAGGGTTTCAAAGGACAAAACGATGCAGGTATGTTTTATCATCCACCACCACCCCATTGAAAATTGTTCCTAGTGGTTTCATGGTGATGAAATGGGTGCTGAAAGCCTCTGCTAGGCTTAAACATCCATTCATCAGTTTACTCCAGGCTTCTCCAAACTTGGCAATTTTAAAACTTGTGGACTTCAGTTCCCAGAATTCCACAATCAGCCTGTAGAACAGGGCTCTCTAAACTTGGCAACTTTAAGACTTATGGACTTCAGATCCCAGAATTCCACATGGTTGAAGTTCCTGGGAAGGCAGCCTAAAGACCCCTGGTTTACTCCAACCCCATCAATTAGAAGACCCACCAATGACATTGTCAGGCTTCCAAGTAAGACCCCCAATGAAAGAAGACTCCAAGAGTTTCCTCAAAGTTCCATTTTATTAGAGATGTCGTATTGGCACATCTGGGAAAACCCGAATCTGAAAGCTTCCAGGTTTTCCCCACCTAAATGAAAGTCCAAGCCGCTGCCCAGCACCCACAAGTCTGTCTCATGGTCTAATCCTTCATTGCCACCAAGAAAGATTTCTTCTGACAGACATTATTCTTGCCCAAGTGATAAAAAGAATGCAGGCTGCCTCATAGGTTGACCATGCCTGACATGGAAGAAAGTTGAGCAGGTTTGATTTCTTTCGTGCCTGGGAAGGAGGGTGGGTGGGGTGGCATTATGTAATGAAACAGAAAAAGAAAAAATATGTGGTAGAAAATGAAGGCGGGGGAGGAACCAATGAGCCAATTGTTTGAAGCAAGATACTCTTTCTGATGAAAATCTGTGTCCCTTTTATGCTACTACTTTCCCAAGCCTTTATATGGAAGTTTTATTTGGAGTAGAGAAAAAAACCTCAAATTCTGTAAAAATTTCTCAGATTTCCGGATTTGGGAGACCTCTATTTAGAACATCGCTTTCCAATAAGAAAAAGAGACTCCTTTTTCCCCTTTGCTTCTTCCAGTCGAGATTCTTCTAAATGCTGACCGCTTTCAACTGGGATCTCTTGCGTTCGACACCTATGTGGCCACCAGGAGCCTGACCGAGAGAGAAGAGCCTTCTGCCCCATTGGGGCCAGTAGAGGTGAGGATTGCTCGCAGCCTCCTTTGGGCAGAGATCACTCATGAGAGATCTCGGTGAAATCTTGGCCCTTCTGTTTTCCAGACTCTGGTGTTTCCCAGCTTGGCATTTCAACAGGAGGGCTTTTTAGTAGCCTTGGAGCTGGTGGCGCAGAAACTACAGCAGCCAGCCCATATCCGCTTTCAAGTACACCGTCCAGCCCACCCAAAAGGTGAGAGGATGTTAGGTTGATATGAGTGATCCAGGTGTCTCTGAGGTAATTAGCCAACTGTTCTTACTTTCAATTAAACTTAGTTGTCCTTTAAGGCCTATGAGATCTGCCCTCTGGAGCAATGGAAGACAATCTTCCATCCTTACGTGGCTCTTCTCTTCCTCTCCAGATCCTGTTAGGGGCACCTGTTGTGACTTGAGCAGCCCCCTCCAGTGGCATAAAATCTTCATGCAGTTGTGCTTTGATAGTGGGATGCAGCTGCTAAGAAGGCAAATAGCAATAGCACTTAGACTTATATACTGCTTCATAGTGCTTTACAGCCCTCTCTAAGTGGTTTACAGAGTCAGCCACCTGCCCCCAACAATCTAGGTCCTCATTTTACCCACCTCAGAAGGACGGAAGGCTGAGTCAACCTTGAGCCGGTCAGGATTGAACTCCTGGCAGTGGACAGAATTAGCCTGCAATACTGCATTCTAATCACAAGAAAGGAAGGAAGGGCAATAACACTTAGACTTATATACCGCTTCATAGGGCTTTCAGCCCTCTCTAAGCGGTTTACAGAGTCAGCCTCTTGCCCCCAACAATCTAGGTCCTCATTTTATCCAGCTCGGAAAGATGGAAAGCTGAGTCAACCTTGAGCCGGTCAGGATTGAACTCCTGGCAGTGGACAGAATTAGCCTGCAATACTGCATTCTAATCACAAGAAAGGAAGGAAGGGCAATAACACTTAGACTTATATACCGCTTCATAGGGCTTTCAGCCCTCTCTAAGCGGTTTACAGAGACAGCCTCTTGCCCCCAACAATCTGGGTCCTCATTTTATCCAGCTCGGAAAGATGGAAAGCTGAGTCAACCTTGAGCCGGTCAGGATTGAACTCCTGGCAGTGGACAGAATTAGCCTGCAATACTGCATTCTAATCACAAGAAAGGAAGGAAGGGCAATAACACTTAGACTTATATACCGCTTCACAGAGCTTTTACAGCCCTCTCTAAGCGGTTTACAGAGTCAGCCTCTTGCCCCCAACAATCTGGGTCCTCATTTTATCCAGCTCGGAAAGATGGAAAGCTGAGTCAACCTTGAGCTGCATTCTAGCCATTGTGCCAAACAAGGAAGGAAGGTCCATAGTAATAGCACTTAGACTTATATGCCCCTTCATTGTGCTTTTACAGCCCTCCCTAAGCGGTTTACAGAGTCAGCCTATTACAATCTGGATCCTCATTTTACTGATCTCAGAAGGATGGAAGGCTGAATCAACCTTGAGCCACTCAGGATCGAATTTGCTGGCAATCAGCAGAATTAGCCTGTAGTACTGCATTCTAATAGGAAGGAAGGAAGGAAAGGAAGGAAAGGAAGGAAGGAAGGAAGGAAGGAAGGAAGGAAGGAAGGAAGGAAGGAAGGAAGGAAGGAAGGGCAATAGCCCTTAGACTTATATACTACATCACAGAGCTTCTGCATCCCTCTCTAAGCAGTTTACAGAGTCAGCCTCTTGCCCCCAACAATCTGGGTCCTCATTTTACCAACCTTGGAAGGAGGGAAGCTTGAGTCAACATTGAGCCTGGTGAAATTCGAATTGCCAAATTGCAGTCAGCTGGCAGTCAGCAGAAGTAGCCTGCAGTACTGGGAGAGTGAAGGACCTGGAAATCAAGCCCCATGAAGAAGGGCTAGAGAGAATTTAGCCTACAGAAAAGTTGACTAGGGCAAGTAGGATAGGAGTCTCAAATACCTGAAGAGTTGTCAAGTAGAAGTGGGAGTGGACTTGTTTTCTCTTGCTCCTGAGGGCTACAAAGAAAGATACAAGCAATAGCAATAGCACTTATACTTCTTTACTGCTTCACAATGCTTTACAGCCATCCCTAAGTGGTTTACAGACTCAGCCTCTTGCCCCCAACCATCTGGGTCCTCATTTGACCCACCTCGGAAGCATGGAAGGCTGAGTCAACCTTGAACGTGGTAAGATTTGAACTGCCAAATTGCAGGCAGCTGGGAATAAGCAGAAGTAGCCTGCAGTACTGCACTCTAACCACTGCGCCACTGTGGCTCATACAAAATTTAAGAACAGTCAGATGGTGGAACTGGGGGCTTGAAGTGAAGTGAAGTGAAGTGATGAGTTCTCCTTTCTTGGAGGACTTCAGTGGCTGGGGGGGGGGTCATCTTTCAGGGATCCTGTGCTGAGCAGGAGGTTGGCCTAGATGACCTCTAAGGTACCCCATGATTCTGTGACCGAGAAGTGGTTGTTATCTATTCCATCCTTTTTTCTACTTTATTTTCTGTTCTTCCTTTTTGGATTGTTGGTTTGTTTTTAAGGTGCAATCATTTTATATGTTTTTTTATCAGTATAAACTATTGAAAGTCTGGGTAAAGTACACTGGCATATATAACTGCAGATGAGAAAGAATGATCAATATGCAAAAGTCCCACTTTGAACACGCCATGCAAACAATCTAAAAAACCACCTCTATTACTATTCATCTTTCTGCACCTCATTTTCATACGGAGGAAGACAGAGGCTGAAAATAAATAGAAATCAGGTTTATTCCATTTGCAGGGAGTTTCCAGAGAGAAAAACGTTATAAGAGAGAGAAGAATGACTGTTTTTAGCTTAGAATTGCTCATTCTAAGGACCTTTCTGTAAAATACTGAGATAACAAAGTAAGAACTGGGGTGCTTATGGCATTTTCAAGTATCATTAAAACCAGGCAGATAAAAGCCGTGGTGTGTTTAACATCAATAATGTATGAAATTTGATTTCACACTAAGATGGGGAACTCTGTTAAGAAAAATACGAGAGATGGATTAGAAAATTAAAGTCAAGTGTTGCGGGGGGAACTGCTAAGGGAAATTGTGAGTCCCCTTTTGCTAGAGGTCTCCTCTCCTCTGAACTCATTCCAGAGTGGTTCCAAAGCTATATGATCCTACAAGCCTTAATTCACAGCGATTTAATCAGGTACTCCTCGACCTTCGACCACAATTGAGCCCAACATTTCTGTTGTTGAGTGAGACATTTGTTGAGTTTTGCCTCATTTTACGACTTTTCTTGCCTTTTTTTCATTTTTTTTATTTCCCTCTGTATGCATCTTTCTCCTAGGAGTGTTTTTTCTCCGGTGGGTCTATCAAGGCAACCTGGTCTACCAAATTATGTGACAGAACATACAGCTTCCATTTTCGCCTTTCTCTCCCAATCCAGGAGCCTTCGCAGGCAGCCGTTTTTGCGACAAACTATTTTTGTGTTGAATTTAATTGTTACCAACAAAGAAATAAAGAGGGACTAGTATAGATTTATTTCAAGCTATTTAGCTCTCATCAGCTAGCCATACCCTTTTGGGATTCGAACCCGGATTGCTTACATATTAGGTAGATGTATTAACCTCTAAGCCACGGGTTCTCCTCACTTTGTCAGCTACACCAGGGGAGAGATTAAGTGTTTTTTTCTCCAGTGGTGGTCTATCACCAGGGAAAAAACACTTAAATTCTCCCCTAAGGAGAAATTTCCTGACAGTTAGAATAATTAATCAGTGGAACAACTTGCCTCCAGAAGTTGTGAATGCTCCAACACTGGACATTTTCAAGATGAGATTGGATAACCATTTATGTGAAATGGTGTAGGGTTTCCTGCCTTAGCAGGGGGCTGGACTATTCTAATTTCTCTGGTATAGTCAACAAAGCGAGGAGAGCCCGTGGCTTAGAGGTTAATACATGTACCTCTCCTCTGAATATGTACATATCTACCTAATATGTAAGCAGCCCCGGTTCAAATCCCAGAAGGTATGACTAGCGGATGAGGGCTAAATAGCTTGAAATAGATCTATACTAATCTTCCTTATTTCTTTGTCGGTAAAACATAAATTTAACACTTTCTCCGATGAGTTTTTAGGGGCCAAAATTAAATAGACAAAAACCAGAGTGTTACTTGTTCTTCCTTTCCTTCAGGATGCAACGAGATCAGGAACGTGACTGACCTCTTCCTTGTTTCCCAAGAGAATGAGACTTGGACACCAATGGACTGTCTGGTTGGCTTCCAGTGGTGCCACTCAGCCAACTCATGCCAACCTCTAGAAAGCTGCTGCCACCAAGAGCCATATGCCAACTCAACAACTCAGGCAGCTGCTGGTCTTCCTCACCCCTGCAAAAATCAAACCTGGAGCGTGGTGCTTAAGACGTCACATTTTATGTTGCCCCTGGGCCCCTCCACGCGGTACCTTGTAAGTGGAGAGTTCTTGGCATCTCTCTCTTCCCAATCTCTTGGGGGGGGGGGGGGAGAGTGATTTCTGTTGGGGAGAGCAGAGGGGAAGGGATTTCCAGAGATTAAGTTGCCTGTTCTTATACGCATCAAGAACAATGTGATCTCAGAAAAGGGCCAGACAAAGGAGATATTGCCTAAAGAAAATGCCTGCATCTCCCCCACTCCCCTGCAGAACAGAGAGATTGGAGGGAGGGGGAGAGAGATTTCAAGAGAGTACTATAAATTGTCTATAAAGTGTGACCATGGCCCCCAGCCCCAGACTGCCAGCACGATCACATTGCTTTCAATGTGGAGAAGAGCAAACAGCTTCTCTTTTGCAATCCCTTTCTCTCCAATCAGTCTGCACTGCAAAGTGGGGGGAGTGTGGGACAGAAACACAAGTCAGACACAGGACAAATGGTCCATAACTGAGGACTACCTATAGGACAAAGTGGCTCTCTGGAGTTGCTTTCTTTTTCTTTTTCTAATCATTCCAGAAAAAGATTTCTCAATTCTCTGAGCTGCATATTTGCCCTTCTTGTGACCCAGTACCTTTTTCTGCCTTAGGGGGAGGGGGGGCAGTTGCAATCAAGCCACTCCATCGCTGCTCCCCCCACTTTCCTCCAACCCTTAGCTCAGAATTAGTGAGTGAAGGGCAGGTTGTATTGTGTTGGGAAGAATTAATTCATTGAGGCTTCTCTCCTGTAGTTGCTCTTCAGAAGCAAGGATACCTTTGTCAAACCCAACGATACAGTAAGTGTCCAGCATGATGCTGGGCCTGGCGCTTTGCTCCTTTGCCATGCCAGCCAAAAGCCACTCACGCAGATGAGCTACTTCACCATCAGCTCTTTGGATTGGGACCCGGGCTGGCCTGTCCACCCCGCTCCCCAAGCCTGGCAGAACGATTCCAGGTGCCCTATCAGGATCCTGGCGGCTGCTGAAGAGACCATCCCGCTCCTGCCGAAAAACCACTCCAGCGTCCACCGCCCTGGCCTTTATGCGGTGCAGGCCACAGTCCACAACGGCCTCTTCAGGAGGAACTTCTCCTGCGACTTCTGGGCTCTTTCCGCTATCTTGGGCCTCCGTGTTATCTACCCACCGGAAAAATGTGGCAAAGTCTACATGGAAAGCAACAGCACATGGCTGGTGGTGAAAATCCTTTCTGGGATGAACGCAACCTCTGGCCGGCTGGGGGGCAACCAGAGCTTCCCTTTTGGACGGAGCTGCCCCCCAGCGGTCACTCCACTGGTGGCAGAATGCACAAGAGACAGCAATGACACCTGGTTCTCTGTAATCCTGCTGGAGGACATTGGGCATAACCTGAGCACTGTTGTGTTGTGGGCCAAGAATGCCGTGAGTTCACAGAACATCACCGTCAGGGTGAAAGCGGAGGATGCCATCCGAGGATTGCGTGTGACCCCTGACCCAGAGACCAGGGTCCTTCAGAACAAGCGTGTGGTGAGTGACCAGCTGCCCGTGTGCCCAACGGACAACAGGCATCAGTTTTGTGGCTTGATAATCTTTTTCAAACAAGATTTTTAAAAAAACAACCTCAGGTTTTGTGGGTTTTGGATTGAGCGCAAAGTGAGATACCAACATGTTTTAGTTTCTTAGTGTTCCTTCCTTCCTGGGTCATCCCAGGCCACAGAATTGTGTCTGAAATAAAAGAGCAACTTGCAAAAAGCAGGCAATACCGAGAATACATGTAGCTTAAGGCTGATGATGTTACCTGGATGGTAATAAAATGTCTTTTAAGACCAGTTTCAGAGAACCACAAGCGTGTGAGAATATAGACAGTCACATCAGAACTCAGTTCTTGAGATGGCTCAAATGAAATCCTTATTCGATCCTCAAAGGTGCTTCTTTGTCTGCATCTAGAATAGCCTGATGTTTTCCACTGGGATGCTTGAAAAAAATACAATGGTCTGTTCCTGCAAAGTCCATTCTCCCCTTCAACTGGAAGGTCCTTGCGGTTGTCCTAACACTTAGATTATATACTATTTCACGGTGCTTTACAGCCTTATCTAAGCTATTTAGAGTTAGCGTCTTTCCCCCCAACAATCTGGGTCCCCATTTTACCAATCTCAGAAGGATGGAAGTCTGAGTCAGCCTTGAGCCAGTCAGGATTGAACTGCTGGCTATGGGCACAGTTATCCTGCAATACTGCATTCTAACCACTGGGGGAGGAAGGAAAGATGGAAGGACGGAAGGACGGGCAGAGTTGGAAGGAATCTTGGGGGGGGGTCTTCTAGTCGAACCCCCTGCTCAGGAAGGAAGGAAGGAAGGAAGGAAGGAAGGAAGGAAGGAAGGAAGGAAGGAAGGAAGGAAGGAAGGAAGGACTGACTACCAATAGAACTTAGACATATATTGCTTCACAGCACCTCACAGCCCTCTCTAAGTGATTTACAGAGCCAGCACATTTCCCCCAACAATCTGGGTCTCCATTTTATCAACCTCGGAAGGCTCAGTTAACATTGAGCCGATCACGATTGGAGTCCTAGTCCTAGCAATGAGCAGTGATTTAGCCTGCAATACTGCATTCCAAGCACTCTGCCACCAGGGCTCCTAGCCTAGCCTTGGACATCAGCAGGAGGCTGAGTATCAGACCCGCTTCTTAACCGCCAACAGTTAAGCCTGTTGGTTCCTTCTCAGGGGGAAAAAAGACTTGATGATGGGAGGGCTCAGCCACCAGCCCTTCAAAGGCCTAGCTTCAGCTTGGCCAGAATCGAGGAAAGAATGGTTAGCATGGATGGACAATGGTTACTCCTTCTGAAATTGCTGCTTGTGCCCCTCCACTGCAGAGTTACATCCCTGTGATGGATGCTGGGTCGGATGTCACCTTCATGTGGAGACTGGATGACAAGAGCTCCTTTACTTTCTACAATGACGTCTTCCACGTCCTTTACCAGTCCCCAGCTGTGTACAAGCTATCGGTAAGTCCGGGCCTCCTAGTGGCCCCTCTTTTAGGAACCGTGCCCCAAAACTATGGATTCCCACTTAAGGTGGCCACTCCGTAAATTGTGTGTTTCTCCTGCTGTCCTTCCAAGTGGCACACAGGATTTTTACCAAGCTTGATTTGCAGTCTGGGGTGTATTGTGGCCCTCAGCAGGCAGGGATTCCTGCCTGATAGGATTCTTCCCTTGGGATTCCCAATAACTGTTTCCTTTTTTTTTTATCCTGCCAAGGGTAAAAGGATAAGAATAGGAGTTGAAATAGAAGTAGAATACTTTATTTGACCAAGTGTGATTAGACACACAAGGAATTTGTCTCCAGTGCTGAAGCTCTCAGTGCACATGCAAAGCAACAGAGTAATCTTCATCTTCATCATCATCATCATCATCATCATCATCATCATCATCATCATGCAAATAAGAGGGAGTAGTAAAGAAGATAAGGAGGATAACTATAGCATATACACCGCTTCACAGTGCTTTATAGCCCTCTGTAAGCAGTTTACAGAGTCAACATATTGCCCCCAACAATCTGGGTTCCCATTTTACTGACCTCGGGATATTGCAGCCATACAACATGGCTAAATATTCTTAGATATAAGATAGTCCTGTGAGAGTTGGGTGTTCATCAGAGTGATAGCTATCTTTGTGTCAAGTTGTTTTGGCATGCAATGCCCTATGCATCATCCCAAGGGGAGGAATTGAAACCGTTTGTGTCCAGGATGTGAGGGGTCTGTAGATATTTTCTCAGCCCTCTTTCTGAGAGCGCAGTGTACAGGTCTTCAACTGAAGGCAAGCTGGTTACAATTACCATATTTTTCAGAGGATAAGATGCACCCTTTTTCCTCAAAAAAGAGGGTAAAAATCTGAGTGTGTCTTATACACTGAATACAGCATTTTTGGCTTACCAAAACCCTGCCCCCTTTGTAAAAATGGACGTTCAGTGGTTTTGGGAGTGTTTCTGAAGGCTGGGGAGGGCAAAAATGAGCAAAAAACCGGGGCGTTTCCCCCCCCCCCCGGTCAACCTCCAGGAACATTCTACAAGCCTCCCAAAGGTCTGCATGCCGCCTTTTTTGTTGTTGCAAAAAATGGCCCTTTTTTGCTCGTTTATGGGGGCCCAGACCCCAGAAGCACTTTAAGAGCTCTGCATGCCCCCCACCCCCCCCACCCCCCAAAATGAGGCGTGCAGAGGGTTTGGGATGCCTGTAGAGTGCAAAAAAAATTTACCTCTTCAAAATCATGGTGCATCTTATACTCTGGTGCGTCTTATAGTCTGAAAAATACGGTATTTTCCCTGAAGTCCACGGGTGAAATCTACTTACCTTCGTTACTGTTTTTCAAATGTGAGTGAACGCGATTCCTCCGTGCATGCGCAGGAACCTCTGTGAAGCGCAGAGTGTCAAAAATGAGGTGATGATGTCTGAGCGGGTGGGCGGAGCCTCCCGCCACCGCTGCTACCGGTTTGCCTGAACCAGATAGAAGCAGCTGCATTGCACCCCTGCTTCAGTCCTAACTGTCCATGGAGTCTGTCCTCTCCTGTTTGGTTGCTCTACCAAAACGGAAGTGATAGAAGTACAAATGGCAGATTCAGAAATTCCTTTGCAAAACTATATCAGCAGTTCTGGGGCAGTCTGACCTCCCTGAGTTGATACAGGAAGAACCTTCTTCCTTGTGCCTTTTTAAATGATGGTTCTAATCCTGTCTGACAGAAACACATTTAATTAATGCACCTGACAGACAATGGGAAAGTGTACAGTTTTGGTTTAGCTGGGGCAAACTTTTTCGCCTTGTTAAACCTCAAATCCAAAATAAGAAATTGATACGAACTAAAGGTTCTGGCTATCTCAGATTAATTCTACCCCTTTACACCTCAACAATCTTGAGTTTATGTACCCTGCCTTGCCTAGTTCATCAAGATTGTCTCCATGATGTTTCAGTGGCCAATGTTGATTGTTACTTTGGCCCAAGATGGCTTGACACTGGTTTTCATATGCTGCCATTCTCACGGTCAGGCTTACAAACTCTGATTCCAGGAAGAGAACACCCCACCTTCACCCCTGCAGTAGCTCCCGTAGCTAAGATGAGGGAGAATAATTGTCCCAGATTATCCTGAGAGCTTCACAGCAGAATGGAAATCTTCATATGATTTCCCCTGATTTAGCATTCGGACCAATGCTAAAACAGGGGGGGTGAGAAGGGATTGAAAGGAAGAGGACCACTTTTTAATTGGAATAAAAAGATACCAGCGGCTAACATGCAATTCACAATCGTACGATACCTGATAAATATATTCCTGCAAGCCAAACGAGAATCCAAGATGATGGTAAATTTAGTCTGAAGCCAATTAAAAAGATTGAGTAGGAGAAGTCTTGAGTACGTCTCATTTGGGCTAGACTGAGTTAAAAAAACTGGCTTTTGGAGGAGAAGAGAGGTGTGGCCAAGACTTTTTTCAACACATTCTTGAGGCTAATAGGCTGAATTTAACCCATGCTTGCTTGGATTCTCCAAGCAGCGCACAGGAGAAGCAAAAGGCAAAGCGTGATCTATAAATCCCCCTCGTGGCCTGGAGGTAAAAAGAACGATGAAAATTGTGAAACCGCAAATGCCCCCGGGTGTATTGGGGGGATGAAGTCACAAAGCAGTTTGTCTCTGGTCTCTCCAGCTTACAGCCTCAAATAATGTCAGCAACATCACGGTGTGCTATAACATCACTGTGGAGGAGATGAACAGGATGAAGGACCTGAAGGTCTCGGAGATCTTGACCCACGTCCCACAGAACAGCAGTGTGGAACTGTCAGCAGTCGTGACTGTGGATTCGGCTGTCGATGCCAGATTCCTGTGAGTTTTTCCACTGGCTCTCCAACAGACCAAGACGGGGAGATCCACCCTTCCCCAGCACTCAGGCCAATGAGTGGTCCAGAAAGACCAGTGGAATTGCCCTTGGAGAGTTGTCCCAAAGGTGCTTTTTCAGGTGGCAACTGGACTTTCTGGTTTTCTTTGAAGACGTTTCGCTTCTCATCCAAGAAGCTTCTTCAGCTCTGACTGGATGGTGGGGAATGGAAGGATTTATACTTATTTGCATCCTTTTAGAGAGTTGTTGAGGCACTTGGAGGTGTCCTCAGGGTCCTCAGGGTCACCTAAGTAGTGCAAATGGGTGAGGAGCCTTCTTGGAATTGCTGAAAGGACTGTGTTGTAGACTGGAGATACATGATGTCGTATCCCTCCCCCTCTGTTGAGAAGAGCTATTTAATTTTGTCCTAGATGGCCCCTTTGACCCTTCTTTCAAACCAGTGGTCCCCTCTGTTAAACATGTGGCCTTTGCTGTCTTCAAAAGAGTGACCTTTGCCTTTCAAATTCAGATGGACTCCTGAATCTTGTCCTGATGGGTTTGTTCTTCTATGTTGTGCGTTTACTGACAAACATGACTTGGGTGACTGATAATCTCCATAGATCTTTGAGAGATGCAGCCTTTTAAAACTGCAGGGAAAAATCATTTTTCATCTTGAGCCTTTTATTTTTACACATCTTTTATGACATTTGACCTACATTCCAGGAGAGAGAAGTCCCCTGAGGATGGGCTCCAGTCTTTTCTTCTTTGGCCCAAAAAATCACACAACTCAAGAGTGAATAACTGACCCGTTGCTCCTTCTACTGACCGTCTCATTTTCTGACTCCCCAGGTGGGACTTTGGTGATGGTGACCAAGCCATTTTGGAGTTTCATCCTCCCTATAATGAGTCCTTCCTGAAGCCAGATCCCAAGATCCACCAGGTGCAAATCAGGCATAATCTGTCCCATATATACCAAGACCCAGGTGAGAAATTCTTTGGATATTTGAAATCATGACTGAGTAAACTATGCACAGATATTTGGAAAGAGGGGACCAATTCAAAGCAGTGGAAGGAAGGGTCAGGCTGAAGTCTGCATTGGAGTTAAAATGCCCTAATACAGCAATCCCCAACCCTTAGGCCAGGGGTTGGCAAACTTAAACACTCAAAGAGCCATTTGGACCCGTTTCCCACAGAAAAGAAAACACCGGGAGCCACAAAGGTCCTAACCAGAAGCCTCCTGTTCATTTCTGGAGCTGCTGACCAGAAGTTCAGTTCCCCCACTATAGAGTCTCCTCCGAGCGTGGCATACTTTTTCCTCTACCTGTCATAACCAAAAGCCCTATCAATTGGAGGGACAACTGGAAAACCCTCCCCTTGCCATAGAGTCTTCTCCTGGCACACTCTGCTTCTCCCACCGGAAGCTCCTCTCAAAATTGTGGCGCCGACTGGTGACGGAGCCGCAGCAGAGGAAGGAAAGAGCCACATGCAGCTCCAGAGCCACAGTTTGCTGACCCCTGCCCTAGGCCATCGCCCGTTTGGAAGCATGCCCATGGAAGTAGCAGGCAAGCACCCTGTATCTGCAGCTCCACTTGTGCGCTCAGTGAGCGGGTGAGCACGTGCATGCAATTCCACTTGAGCACACATGCTCGCCATTTGCGCAAATGGAGCTGCTGCACTCACCCGCCACTCACATGGAACCATCCCTTCTCCCTACACACCAGTCTACAAAGCTGAAAAGGTTGGAGACCATTGTTCTAATACAGGGGTGTCAAACTCGATTGCATTGAGGGCCGCATCAGGGTTGTGTTTGACCTCGCGTGTGTGTCTAGGCTTTAGTGTGTGTGTGGCCAACTTGACGTCATTTGTGTCAGGGGCACCTGTGGTGGCCCAGGCAGCCCTCTGCTAGCAAAAATGGATTGATTGATTGATTGATTTGATTGATTTATTTAATTTGTATGCCGCCCACTCTCAAAGAGACTCAGGGCGCCCAGGGGGAGCTTTTTTACTGGCAGAGGCACCGCGGGCTGGTCCTTCGCTATTTGCAGGGCAGCCCCGTGAGCCAGATCTAAGCACCCCCATGGAGTGGATGCGGCCACGGGCTTTGAGTTTAATACCCCTGTTCTAATATTATTCCCACAATAATTAACAGCTATCTGTCCCATTTAAAAGCAGAGCCAACGTCTTTCAGCTTCACAGGCCATGGATCTGCACCCTGAGTCTCTTTTCCTTGCTTCTATTGGCTAATGTTTCTTTTCTCTCTTTTCCTGTTCTTCTCACCCCCTCCTCCTCCAGCAGCAGCACCTTTCTCTTGTCCTTCCTTCTCTTCCATCCTATTGGGTGACTGTCCTGCCATCTTCAGGTAGCTCTTTTTATAACTCTTGCAATGGTTGTCATTATCCTCATATATTCTGGCTGAATCACAGCGTTTGGGGTTTGGAGAGGAGAAATTGGGTTGAGAAAGAGGGCAAAGGGGAGCACATTCAGCAGTTTTTGGCAAGTTTAACACGGGTGGACTTCAGCTCCCAGAATCCCCCAGCCAGCATGTCTGAACTGGGACAGGAAAAGAAACTGGCATTGGGAAGATGGTCTAACCTCCTGGGGGTTGTTTTTGCAAAATAACCTTCGCTGCCTTACTAGCCAGCGTCATTGCACATTGCTTGTTGTGGTTTGCAACCTGCACATAATGTCATTATTGTTTATTCATCTGTTTGTGTGCTTGTATGTTGCTGCCTGTTTATTTGCCCATCAGATGCTGCTGTGTGTCTTGGGGAGGGGGAAAAGGGAGGCCCTCTAGTTTCCTTTCTGCCTTGGTCTCCTTGGTTCTCTCAACAGCAAATGGAGGAGGAGGGTTAATGAAGTGAAACCGAAGATGAGTGGAGAAAGACTCATTTGCCAGCAGGGAAAATTTATGAAAGTATCGAAATTTAGCATACACGTCTACATTTGGGAAGGATTTGGCTTACTTTATAAACAATTTGGGGTGGTGATTTAATTTAGAACACTTAGAGTCCTCATTTAGTGACTGTTGGAAGATGGAACCGAGGGATACTTACAATCCAGATTCAAAGTTCTGACAGGTTCCCCCCACCCTCCACCCCGTCACAAGATTGTATTTTGGGTACTCGGCAACTAACTCACAATTAGAGTTTGCAACATCCCATGGTCATTACCGCAATTTATATTGATTTTTTTTTATTTTTTGCCAGAAACTGGTGTTTATCTCTGATTTCTGGGGGAAAAAATATTTATTGCGGACAGTGGATTCACTTAATGACTGCTGTGTTCACTTAATGACCCCGTGATTCACTTAACGACCAATACACCTGACTGCTGATTTTTATTTATTTATTTATAAAAATTCTATGCTGCCCATCCCGCCAAGGCTCCCTTTGCTGTTACATATAAACATGGAAATAAAATGTAAATATGTAGTTCCACTATCAGAAAGAGTCACTTGATAAGGTGTCAATAGGACTTCATAGGCTCAACCTTGGGATTGGGATTGCCTCCTGCAGAAACTTTATGGAAACTTCCGTTATGAAAAAAAAGGAGAAAGAAGTCCAAGGGATTGTCTAGAAAAAGGGTGCTGCCAATCAGATGACATTTGCAATTTTCCAGTTTGGGGAATTTTATGAAATTTTCATGTATGTTCTTTTAAATAAAGATTCAGAGTAGCTGAGCAGTTTTATTTATTTCCTTAGACGTACATGTTATTCTCATAATTGACTGACAGAGCATCTTACTATCCTGCCATGTTTAAACAGAATTAAAAACAACTAAGAAATAGAACCATAAATTAATATGGTAAACATTAAATACTTCAATGCTGAGGAGCCATAGAATCTCAGACCATCATATATTCTTGGGGGCGGGGAATCTCATTTAATTCATCTTCCCCCCCCCCAAAAAAAAAGAAAAGTCCTGCTGAAACAATCCAGTTTTGATTTGCCTTCCTAATCCTCCAAAGTTGAGATAAGTGAAATCGTGGAGAATGTTATTCCAGAGAAGGGAAGTAGCACTCAATGCCAATGAATGAGAATACAAACTTCTCAAATCACATGAAAATAAAACCAAATGTCTGCTCCAAATTCTGAGCTAAGAAAAAGACCACGGAGAAAAAACAGATGTACTCAGTCAGTTCTCTTTCTGCCCTAATGGACAGTTTCCTTCTCTTTGCATTTATCCATTCAATCCTCTCTTTTCCTTACTGCGAGGGACAGTTGCAATTTGATGCGTGGCTCAGAGGCAGGCTGGAGGGGTCTAGGACAACTTGCCATGGCTGACATGTCCCAGCCAACCTGTCTCACTGTGAGACAAGTCGCCACAGGACAATTCAATGCGTGTGTCAAGGTTCCAAGTAGTAACTCTCCATAAAAAGCAGAAGTCAGAGGCAAGCAAGTTCCTCAAAGGACAATTTTATTGGAGATATCATATTGGCACAAACTGGTGAAAACCAACTCTGAAAATTCCCGCGGTTTTCAACTGATAAAAAAGTTCCCCCTTTCCCCAAACAAGCAGTCACATTGTCCAATCAAGGTGCTGGCTGGTCATGTGGTAACCGGACTCCTCCTCTCCCCAGCCACCAGTTGGAATGTCCTTGGTTCCCACAGGAAACTATTTTGTTTTGGCTACAAACTCCATCTAACTATGTTCCCCCTCCCTTTCCCTTCTTTGCACTGTGGCAACCCTGAAGCCTCAAAAATGGCTCCGGTCAGGTTCACTTCAGAGTTGACAGCGTGATAATCAAGAAAGAAACGAGTGAATTGCAGCAGCACTTGCCTTGCTTTAGGTTTGACCCTTCTCAAGTTAGAAGTCCTTGAGGCTGGGTGCAGTTCACTTGTCCTTCTCTTGAATTATCCTGGGTTGAATTGTCCCACAGCAAGTTGGCCATGGCAAATAGTCCCTGTCCAGCCTGCAGTGGGCAGTGATGAAATTATTGGTCATCTCAATTTGCCTTTCCTGAGGCAAAGAATCAAATCAAACCCTATTCCAGGTAAGAATATCCAGAGCAGAGGAATAAAACGGATTTCTTAAAAATCAGTAGGTCCTCCTTCTTTCTATCAGCACAAAGGGCTAAACTAGGCTTCAGGCTGCTGCATCCATGGGTAACAAAGGCCCTTTCCTTCACAATGCATCCTGGGAGCAAAGGGAAAGACCGCAGCATCAAGTACCTGCTTCCTCCTCAGCGAGGTGGTGGCACTTCTGGCATGCTTGAAAGGAGGAGAAATATATTGGTTAGGTTTGCCTGGAAAGCTATAGACACAATCCCTCCCCCTCCCTCCCTCCCTCCCTCTCTCTTTCTTGGCAATCTTAAGACCTGTGGACCAACTCCCAGAATTCTCTAGTCAGCCATGCTGGTTGGGGAATTATGGGAGTCCACAAGTTTTCGTTGCCAGGGTTGGACACTGTGCTGTAGACTGACTGACTGAAGAGAGTTTGGGTAGTTTGTATTGAGGTAACAGGCTGTCCGATGAAGCCACAGCCTGGTTTTTCTGCTTGAGCATGGCGGACTGTGTGAGTTCAGCAGTGTCGATTTTTAATCCTGACCTGAATTTCCGATCCATTGGAAAAATGAACACTTCTGATTCTTTTTCTCTCTCTCTAATTTTCCCCTGCAGGTAAATACAGCCTGACTGTTGTAGTCTCCAATGAATTTGAGAACCTGACCTGTTCAATCCCTGTCCACATCTATGCTCACCTAACAGAAGTGACCATGCAAGTAGCCTCAGATGTTTTGGTGGTGGGCCATCCTGTCACCTTTGAAGCTCAAATGATGCCCTCCAGCTTCGGAGTCTCTTATACCTGGAATTTTGGGGACGGGTCAGAAGCATTTGTGGGAAGCCAGGCCGCCGTAGTCCACACCTACAGTTCCAGAGGGATGTACAAGGTCAGGGTGCAAGCAAACAACACCATCAGCACTGTTGAGACATGGCAGCATTACCAGGTCTTTGAAGAGATCAGTGGGTTGTGGGTGTCCTTGAATGAAACCATAGAGCTTCGCACCCCGATTGAGATCAGCGCTTCTGTGGAAACAGGAGATAATATCACCTGGATATTTGACATGGGCGATGGGACCATCCTGGAGACTCCTGTGGCATCCATAAAGCATACTTATTTAAAGGAGATGAACTGCACCGTAAATGTAACTGCGATGAATCCAGTCAATTCTCTGTCCCGAGCTGTGCCCGTCCAGATATTTGTGCTGATGGTGCTCAAGATTGAGCCTTCCTCTTGTATCCGAGAAGACCCCAAAGTACAGCTCACAGCTCACGTTTCAGGTAATCCCCAGAACTACTTTTTTGACTGGACATTTGGCGATGGCTCATCCAACATCACCGTGTATGGTGATCCAACAGTGATCCACAACTTCACCCTCAGTGGAATCTTCTCCTTGTCTTTGGTCCTTTCCAGCAAGGTCAACAAAGCGCAGTACTATACGGAGATTTGTGTGGAGCCAGAGATCACCAATGTGACGCTTTTGGTAAGGCCAGAACTGCTGTGGCTCGGCAACGAGACCAAATTTCAAGTCACAGCCTTGCCGCCTTACCGCTACCGATATCTTTGGGACTTTGGGACGAACGACTCCGCCAGGTTTGGTGGGACCGAAGTGAGCTATACCTACAGAAGTCCAGGGGACTATATGGTCATGGTGACCGTCTGTAACAACGTCTCTTTCAACAATGTCTCGGCATCAGTGAAAGTCCAGGAGCCGGTTGGGGTGGCCAAGATTGAGTCAAACGGCTCAAAGGTTTTGGAGCTGAACCAAGTTTATCTCTTCTGGACCAATGTCACTGGGACCAATGTTAGTTATTTGTGGTACTTTGGGGATGGGACTTCCCAGTTGGCAAAATCCATCACCCATTCTTACAACAAGAGTGGTACCCACACCATCAGTTTGACGTGCTGGAACGATGTCAGCTTCCATGAGGCCAAGATGAACGTAACCGTGAAGAGGCGCCTGCAGGGCCTGAGCATCAACGCCAGCAGGACGGTGGTGCCTCTGAACGGTTCTGTAAGTTTCACGGCCACCCTCCTGGTGGGCACTGCCATCCGGTACTCTTGGATCTTGTGCGACAGGTGCACTCCCATCCCGGGTCTTTCCACCATTTCCTACACTTTTCGCTCTGTTGGGACGTTCAACGTGATTGTGACGGCCGAGAATGAGATCGGGGGCCTGCAGAGCAGCATCTTCATCTATGTCCTGCAGCAAATAGAAGGGCTGCAGATCACCGGAGGAGACTTCCTGGACAACATTTACTTCCCCACCAATAAGACGCTGCAGCTCCAAGCGGCCGTGAAAGACGGAACAAACATCTCTTACAGCTGGACTGTCCTGAAGGAAAGTCACACCGTGCAGACGTTTACCGGGAAGGCTGTCTCCTTTGTCATTCTGGAAGCAGGCGTCTCTGCTGTCCATCTGAAAGCCACCAACATGCTGGGAAGCTCAGCTGTCAACAAGACGGTGGAGTTCATTGAGGAGGTGGGCGCCTTAAAGCCAACCGCCACCCCTAATCCTGCTGCAGTCAACGCATCTGTTAACATCAGCGCCAGTGCAACTGCCGGAAGTGGGCTGCTGTACACTTGGAACTTTGAAGATGGCCTTTCTCTCTGCACAGACTCCAGTACAATCGCACACTCTTTCCCGAGTCCAGGCACCCAAACCATTGCTGTGGTGGCAGGAAACAAGTTTGGTTCTGCCAATGCATCCCTTGTGGTATGCATACAGGAACCCGTAGTGGGCCCAGAGATTAGGATCATAAGGCCAAACAGCAGTTCTGTAGAATCTGGCACCGTGGTAAACTTTGCTGGGGAGTTGGAAAGGGGATCGGACGTACTCTGGATGTGGAAGATGCAGGACAAAACCATCTCGGGCCAAAGGGTGGCTCTCAATTTTCCCATGGCCGGAATTTTCCCTGTCTGCTTGAACGCTTCTAACGATGTCAGCTGGGACATAGCTTGCCTCAATTTGACAGTCCAAGATGCAATCCAGGGTCTGAAGCTCAGCGTAAGCAAAGACGTGCTGCAGCCAGGGGAACTGGTCTCTTTTGAGGTTGAAATAACCTCTGGTTCCTCCGTGAGCTACAGGGTCACCATCGGCCGTAACCACTCTGAGATCCTCAGTGCTTCCAGCTTCACCTACAAGTTCAGCCAGGTTGGAGAATACTTAGTGAGAGTAACTGCAGAGAATCAAGTAAGTGTGGCTTACGCAGAGGATCTTATCGTGGTGCTGGAGCCCGTGTGTGGCCTCCAGATCACCGATTGCTGCGAACAAGGAATGCCCGCTGCGGTGGAGAAGCAGTTCACGGCTCGGATTGAGAGCGGCTCATGGGTGTCTTACGTCTGGCAGTTCACCTTAGTAAAAGAGCAGCAACGTTCCCAGGTTCACTTAGAGGGCCAAAGTGTCTCTTACACCCCAGAAGGAGCGGGGCAGCTGGACATCCACCTGTGTGCTTTCAACCGTCTGAGCAGCCTGAACGTAACTGTGGTGATCCAAGTCCAAGATTTCATCCTCCAGCTGTCCATCCAGCCTGTTGATTCTTTCGTCAACCGCACAACTTTCTTCGAAGCATCTGTGCTGCCCAGTGCCAGAGAAGTCCTCTTCTGGTGGCATTTTGGAGATGGCTCTCCAGCAGTGCAAACGAGTGTGCCGTCTGCCAACCATGTTTATCTGAGGCCCGGTGATTATGCGGTGGGTGTGAATGCCACCAACCTCATCAGCTTCTCCATTGCCCACCGCACGGTCACGGTCCGTATTCTGGAGTGCGAGGAACCAGAAGCTGAGCTTGCTTTACCTGCTCAGGTGTTTATGAAACGATCCCAGAAGAATTATCTGGAGGCCCAGATTGACTTGCGAGGATGCACCAGGTACCAGACTGCCTACCTCTGGGAGATCTACAAAACCCCGAGCTGCCTACACCTGGAGGCTTTTGCCAAAGTCCAGTTGGTCAGCGTGGACGTGAGCCGACCACAGTTGGTCATCCCAAAGCTTACTCTGGATCTCGGCAACTACTGCTTCAAATTCTTGGTCTCTTTTGGTGATACTCCTCTGTCCAAAAGCATTTTTGCCAATGTGACAGTTTTGCCCAATAAACTGGTACCCATCATTGATGGAGGATCGTATCGTGTCTGGTCCAGCACCCGGGACTTGATCTTGGATGGCGAGAAATCCTACGACCCTAACTGGGAAGATTGGGAACAGACACCGTTGTATTATGATTGGACTTGCGTATCATCTTCCAAAGTAAGTGAACCTGGATGTTGCCCCCCCCTGAATAGAGCTCTAGATTAGTTGGGGGTCACCTCTCAGGGTGGGGACTCCCTATTTTTACTTGGTTGCTCAGTGGCTAAGACGCTGAGCTTGTTGAGGTCAGCAGTTCGAATCCCTAGCACCACGTAACGGAGTGAGCTCCCATTACTTGTCCCAGCTTCTGCCCACCTAGCAGTTCGAAAGCACGTAAAAATGCAAGTAGAAAACTAGGAAACACCTTTGGTGGGAAGGAAACAGCGTTCTGGGCACCTTTTAGTCATGCCGGCCACATGACCACGGAGACGTCTTCGGACAGCGCTGGCTCTTTGGCTTTGAAACGGACATAGCAATAGCAGTTAGACTTATATACCACTTCATAGGGCTTTCAGCCCTCTCTAAGCGGTTTACAGAGTCAGCATATCGCCCCCACAGTCTG